CTCCAGCAGACTGTGCTGGGTAAAGCTTGAGAACCTCTGCTCCAAGACATTGTTTTGGTGCCACATTATCCTTTGCACTTGCTAGTATTTGTCAAGGCAAAAAAAGAAAAATCTTACGCACTCATATTTAACATTACAGTACTCAGTCTATATCCTAATTATTTCAGATGCATTAGATCAGGAAGCTGGCTTGTCCTGTGGTCTTAAAGCATCTAAGAAGAACTCAGTACACATTTGTTGGCTGGTTGATTTTGCAATGTTCCTTGGATATTTTGGCTCTAAGTGACATAAGGAAAAAGAAAGTTTATACTTCCACTTAGAGTACGAGTATATCTTCTATTAGAATATAAAAAAGACATTAATTAAAAATACTTATAGATTGGTTAATTTTGACTCATGTTTTGTTACTTGTTAAGAGAATATTAAAGTAGTGAAGAACATGAGTTTAGGAGTGAGATTTGGGCTGGATCAGGCTTTATTTGGTAAAATGGGCAATAACACCTACCTTGAAAGATTAATAACACTGGCTCACAATTGCTCAAAGTAGAAATTAATAATAATAATAGACATTTTATAACATAATATGTAACATTTATTATGTTGGTGTGTGTGTATATGTTCATGTGTGTGAGCGTGTGTGTGTGTGCATGTGAGTGTAATTATTAAGGCAGAAAACAGTGGAAAGTATATTTTAAAACAGTGGTTCTTACACAGCGGTCTTAAGACCACCAGCAGCAGCATCACCTAGTTATTGTTAGAAATGAAAATTTCTGGGCTCCACCCAGATCTATTGCAATAACTCTGACAGTGGGCCTAGCAATCTGTTTCAACAAGCCCTCCAGGCGATTCTGAAACATGCTCAGTTTCGGGAACACTGCTTTAAAATCACACACACGCGCACACACACACACACACACACACACACACACTTTCTCTCTCTCTCTCTTTCTGTCTCTCTCTGTCTCTCTCTGTCTCTATCTCTCTTTCTCTCTCTCTCTCTGGTATGACTCTTCTAGGAAACAATCTATTAACAGATAAAAGGACCATGGTAGCCAACAACTAGAGAATTCCTGCTAAGGGACAAGTCAATAGGGTCCAAGTTGTTCAAATTTGGGAAACAGACCCAGTTTCTGGTTTCTGTATCAAACCCATTCAATGGACTAGCTTTCTGACAGGTCTTTGAAAAATGAGGTTCCCAGTAACAGCCCTCTCTCCCTCAAATGTTTCCCTGGCCTGCAGCAATTAAACTGCTGAGCAGGAAACTGGACTTGATGTCCTGTTAACCCTTTGTCAGCTAAAGCACAGAGACAATTTGTCTTGCTGAGGAGATTTTCTTCTTAACTCCTTTCCCTCCCACTGTGCTACAATGCAAAACTGTCTCCTAAAACATCTTGTTGAGCTTCCATGTATGTGTCTGTGTGATTGAAACAGCCAGGTCAGAGATCAACAGAGGTGAAAGGTTATTACAAACTAAATGCAGCCGCTGAATCTCCTTGTGCTTCTCCTTGGTGTCAGGAAGACAAATAGCATTTTAAAAAAAATTCTCCCAATGAAGCAGTTCTCATTTTCTCCTTTCTCATCACCCTCCAAGCATTTCTTAATGAACTACAGCTCAATCATCTATGAGCCTGATGGTTTTAAATCCGAGCATAGCCTAGCTAGAAACGATCAGAACTGAGTTGATTAAGCCAGCTTTCTGAGTGCTTTTGTCCTTGTGTTATTAAGTTTGGGCTTTTACCACAGTCCAAGGCCTTAGTGCTACCCCTTATGACAATATCAAACAAACGTATAGTAATGTCAAGCCAGTCCTTCAGGGCTAGGCAGGACTGGGTCGCTGGGAAAACACCTCCTGGTTATTGATAATTGTGGTGTCTTTGTCTTTTACATACGTTCATTGCTTTTTAATAGCCACATGTGCTTTATAGATTTTCCCTGTGAATTTTGAATTCTAGACCAGTATCTTCCACTATCTACTCGGGGATTTCTCAGGGAGCCCAAGCTAATTTGAACGTGAGCTTAAGCAAAAAGCATTTGAAATCATAATATTATTTAAGCCACATCTGTTAGAATCCAGTAACTCTTTGTTAAGGAAAGACAATCCTGTCTCCCTGTTTCTCAGTTTCTAAAGTTGAGAAGAGTTTTGAATTTGGCAAACATAATAGGGGCCTACCAAAAAAATCCAAATGATTATCTCTTTCATGATAAGAATCACCTATATTGAACCCAAACTTTCTAAAAAAAAATTTATTTATTTAAATTAGTTTCAAGTATACAGTACATTGGTTAGACATTTATATAGTTCATCAAATGATCCCCCCCAATCCAAGCTGTGTAGTACTCAACACAGTGCTTTGCTCACAGTAGATGCCCAACACCTTTTTTTGATTCAGTAATGTTTACAAAGATGGGTTTTAGCCACATAAAGCATAAAAACTAGAATGGAGATATAAGAGATGGAGATATCTGATTTTATAGTAAAATGAGAATTTATTAATCAAATTTTTATTTCTACTCTGTTGGTGCAGATGATGGAGGAAGGAATTGGACTTCTGCTTTTAAATGAAAATATGTATGTAAAGCAGCTAATATGCATTCCACTTCTGTCATATAAGTGCTCAATGAATGTGACTCTCTCGCCCCACCTCAGGTGAGCGATGGCCAATCTACCTACCAAGGGACAATCCTGCTAAAGAGTGGGTAGGAGTCAACACTGTAGTTAGTGGTTTCTCCACCTTGGCCTGTGGACCTCTGTGGGCAGGGTGGGTAGGCATGATTGTGGGAGGGGTAGATAAAAGGTTTGCAGAGTATTCTGCAAAAGCTTTTAAATCTATATGTGCAGTGAACATTACATATAGATGAATTAAACACTATCTCTTACACAGAATTTCTACTCTTTCTCAAATATCTGTATGAACATTATTGCGGTTAATAAAACACATATTTATCTATAATCATTGCAAAATGAATTGCAATATTTTGCCATCCTGTGTTTTCTCAGCTGCTATCAAATGACATCTGAGAAATGTTCTGAGTAGAACGTGTTTCCTCATGTTCAAAAACAGGGGAAACTGCTGTTCTAGAGCACTGCTTAAGGTTGGGATTCCCGGGTGTGGTCCTAAGACCTTGTAGCATCTGTATAAAGTGCAGATTGTCCAGCTCCGTCCCTGACAGTCTGGATTAGAATCTCCCTGGCTGGAAATTGCAAACCTGCTTTTAAAACAAACTTCCTAATGCCAATTTCGCCATGCCTGGAAGTCTGAGAACCATGGGCTTAAGGAAACTGGAAAATACCTTCACATAATTAGGAGTCAGCTTCAGAAAGTTAAAGCTTTGTTGTTTTCAAGTTTTACCTGAAGATGGAATGTTTCCTTCCACTTTAAATCCTTGCATACTGTCCAGAAGCTTGCTAGAATATCTATCCATCATGTCAGATAGTCTACTGACAATGTTAAAATGCCGTATCACTGCTAGAACTGTAAAACCATAGAAAAATAAATTGGGATCATCTACAGATGTGGCTTAGTCACACAACTATTTGCCTTCATTGGTGTGCACTGAAATACCATGCGAATTAAATTATAGTGATCAGGGGAGCTGGATTACAGATCTGAAATCATTAGCAACTCCTGAGAGCATTCACCTGATTTGTGTGTATTTAAATATAATCTCCAATAAAATTAGGAAACCTTTACCACCATCTGTGTTGCCATAGCAAAGTGCAGGGGCAGCAAATATCTGGTCTACGTTTTGACACCCACTTCTCTAGCTTGCCTGGCAACTAGACATTTCTAATCAATTCCAGCAATCTTTCCCCTTAAGCCAGGATATTTAAGTCTCAGAATCCTGTGCCTCAGGCAGCTAGCTGTTAGCAGATGAGATGACTGGCTAATGAAACCTATTTGCTATATCTGGAGTGGTGAAGGGCATAGGCTCTGCAGTCAATGGGCTTAGGATGTTTAAATCCCAGTTTTGCCACTTATAGGTTGTGAGACATAGAGCAAGATACTTAAGGTATTTAGGTACTCTTGCAGTCTCATCTTCCTTATCCGCAAAAATGGGATGATAGTCTCCATCATACAGGATTGTTGTGAAAGTGACAGAAAGAATTCATGTAAATTGCTTTGGATTCTTAGCACACACTGGGTACCCAATAACTTTTAGGTGTTATTTTGAATACAGCTTGAAAGGACGTGGTGATGAGGACAAGGAGGAAAAGAGGACTGGTTTTGAGGGACCACTTGAGTTCTATAAAGCAAGTGTGGAGGTGTTTTTTTTTTGTTTTTTTTTTTTGTTTTTTTTTTAGCAGAGTGCATCCTTATTGCAGCATCCTCTCTGGATAATGGCTTATCTGGCCCACATTTATTGAGGGCTTCCTAAACTCCAGAAAGAGTTCCTAGTACTTTATGAAGAGTAACCTAATTCTCACAAGAATTCCGTTAGGTGAATGTTCGTATCTCCAATATATAGATGAGGTACCTGAGATGTAAAGAGATTAACTCAAAAGATGGGGTTAGGCCAGTGTTATTCAACGTGAGCACACCAGCAGCAGCAGCAGCAGCAGCAGCAGCATCTCTGGAAACTTGTGAAAGTTCTCGGGCCTCACCCCTGATCCCCTGACTCAGGAACTCTGTGGGTGGACCTAGAAATTGTTGCCTTAACAAGCTCTCCAGGTGATTCTGAGGCACATTGAAATTTCAGAACCAGAAGCCAGAGGCAAAGGAGATTGGCAGAACAGGGAGAAGTACAGGAGTGGGCTCGGGGCCAAGTGGAGAGCAGACCTGATGAAATTGGAGAAGGCATGTCCCCAGTAAGAAAGTACGAGTACCTGTTCAGAAACCTTTTTTGATTCCTGGCTGTATTTCTTCCAGGATTTATCCTGGAATCCTGTATGTATTTTTTTTTTTTTTTCATTTATGAGGAACATTGGTTGATTTCTGCTTTTTTTTTTTTACTTTGTTACAAGTTTCAATAAAACAAGAAACCCTTTCTCTCTCCGAATTATTTATAAACTGGCATGAAAGGTACCCAAGTCTCTTTCAAATCTATGCTCTCCGTAACTTATACTACAAATGTGAGTTTCTGGATTTCAGCTCTCACAGGGTCCTGTCTTTTCTGATAGTCCTTCAATTCAATAACTTCTGGCCATCTAGGAAGGTTTTGAGTTCTATCTGCTATGTGAATTTGAAAGGGCCTTGTTAGAGGCCTGTGGCATATAATAAAAATTATAAGAAAAATACAAATATATGTGAATGAAGCCCAAGGCTAAGGACTGCCAGCCATTTCTTCATTGAATCTTTGTAATGATCTTAATGCGGCAGACACTGTCATTATTATCTCCAGCACAAATGAGAACAGTTACAAATCTCTAGCCTTGAAAGGGACCTAACTGGCCCAGTGTGTGAGCAACAGGGCCAGGATTTACCCCAGGTCTGTCTGACACCAAAGCCCACTCTCTTAGCCACATCCTTTATGTGACAGAGGAAGAAGGAGTGACTAGGTTCCATCTGACTGCTGTTTAGCCTTCAGAAAGAGAAACGCATTTCTTTTTAAGACGTTCTGCTGTTTCAAATGTTCCCGGAGGAGACTTAGCATTTGCTGGTTTAGATAGCAGAACGCAGGTCCCAGTGTTCTTGCATGGCGTTCTGGGTGTTGTCCACCTCTTGGGCCTACTGTGCAGCTTGAGGATGAGGGAAGAACTATCCCCAAAGATGGTATCTTCCCAGGGAATTATGGTGCAGCTTGCACTTTGGAGGAGAAGGAAAGGAGAAAGCGATTCTTTCTACCTGTGTCTGCTGCTTTCCTGTCATCTCTCCAACAGATTTGTTCTGCTCCTGAAAACATAAGCTACTAATACATAAATACCCAAGCAGAACAAGTTAAAAAAGACAAAACAGAATCGAGCCAGGCTTCGTTCTTTATATCTGGAATTCAGCCAGACTTCCTTTAGTTTTGGCCATGCAGGTCTTCCATAGCTTGCTTTTTGTTTTTCCAGCTCCAATCCCCTTTATGACTGCCCTTTAGTTTTCTATATTCATTCTAGATTTCCTTTTTCTAACACCAGTTTTGGACCTTTATCTCCAAGTCTGTTCTTAGCGCCCTCTGGGCATGCTTATCAGATTTGCCTTGCACTCAGGCAGTCTGCAGTCGGGATGTTGCTGAGTTCTAGCACCATGGTAGATGAGTGAATAACCCGCCTCAGGGGAGGGAAGCGATCAAATGCCTGGTGTGGTGGAAATTTCCCAGCTTACAAGGTCTGGGCAGTGGGTCTGAAACTTCAGAGTACTTAAGAATCACCAGGGCCTTTGTTAAATTAGAGATTCTCAAGTCCCACTCTCTCTCAATTCTGATTCAATAGATCTGAGGTAGAGCCCGGGCATCTGCATTTTAATAAGCACCTGGGCCATTCATGTGCCTCATTTTGAGAAATAGAAATTTGGTGGTGGTATTGAGGTGTTAGACCATGTCACATCCAGCCTTTGGGGTCACTAAACTCATATCCAAATTGGGAGAGGCAGACAGTAGTGCAAGAGCCAGGAGGAGCAAGACAACAATCTATATCCTCACACTCTTCCTCACTTCTATCTCTTTCCTACCTCTACAATACACCCAACCATAATAAAAGGTTCGGGGATGATACATGAATAAGCTAGGCTAATCAGAGCCCATCTGGGTTTTTTTATTGGCATTATTAGGACCCCTCCCTATCTGTAAGGCTGAGGTAAAACTAAGGCTGCTGGTGGTCCTCTTTGTGGTCACATAGGGAGATAGCACCTTAAAATGAAGCCCAGAGCAAAAGGGCAGAGCTTAGAAATAGCAATAGATTTCGGAAGACATTGTCTAGACCACTGGACCGATCTATTCCTGGAGTTAGTTTGCCCTTGAACTTCCCATCTATGTAAATTCTCTTTGTTGTTTAAATGTTGAGTTGAGTTTCTTGTCTTTTGTAGCTGAGAGTCATAGCTCAATCACTGCATGATTCTTGTGGATGGATGTTCTGAGCAGAGTCGTTGGGGAAAGAGAAAAGAATGAGGCCCTTCATAGGGAAGCAAACAATATTGAGAGGGATTGCAGAGCTGTGGAGGCAGCTGGAAGGCACTGGACACTTGATGGGGGACTGGAGGATAGAACATGAAAAAGGAGGGAAGTGAGATGAAAACTATTTCCCTCTGTCACTCTTAGGCGTGAATATCTGTCCTTTGAATTTGTCTCTTGGGTATCTAAACCATTGGAGACGTTTTGCTTTCATTTCCATGCATATCACCGAAGACCCAGCTAACATGTTTTCAGAAAAACCTTGTAAGAGTCAGTCAGTGTTTGAGGCTATGAGCAACAGCTGGGGTGGGAAGTGGAGTGAGGTATGTCCTCAGGGCCGATCTGAGGAGCTGTAGAGTGGACTGGCTAGAGGGTACTCTGTCAGTGTTACCTGGAGCTGGACTGATGGCATAAGAGCAGTAGAGCTTAGAGGAGATTGCAGATGGGAAATGGTGATACTATTCTTGGGTCCCTGAGAGACAACTCCCAGGGGCAGCAGAAGATCCAGTGACCAGTGTCACAAAAAGTCAGAAGTTTCTTAGCATTATAATTCATGCCAGTCATTCAGATCTGGCTAGTTGATTAAAATTATCCCTGTGGTAAAACAAGCAAATA